ACTGCATTTTGTGAATTTTTGTTTAATTTGGACAACGAAAGTGGACGACGAGAGCATTTTGAATTTTCTTCATTTTAATGTTAAAGTAAAAATCGGCTGTGTGGGAATAATATGCACGCCTAAATAAACTCTACGGCCAATTTATTATTTAAAAAAATCAAGAAATTTGTTTGCGGGATGATTTTCAAACTTTATATTGAGTGTTCCATTACGTTAGTCTCATGCGCAAACTTTTTATAGATTATGAGTTATTGCATTATTATTTTATGAACAAAGCCTTATGAAAAATTAATTGATTTGAATTTTTAAATAATTTTTGTCTTGCACATTATACATTTTATGAACAAAGCCTTTTGATTTTTTGTTCGTATTGCATATCGTCTTCATACCTTGGCTAACGCATCATAACATATGGTTCTTTTTTACCTTTTGGTCTTTTTCCTATCGAGTTCAACTCACAGGTAGTGAAACACGAAATTGCTCCATTTCTGTGATGCTGGTATCCTTCTCAGACGTTCATTGTTTTAATATCGAGCCCGAAATTTTGTGTACAAAATCTATAAGGAAATTCCGTCATTCAAATATGTGAATGAACTAACAGCTCCTCTTTCCTAGAGCGATAGTACTGTACGTATTAGATGCCGTCTGGCGATCGTTTCTACGTCAATTCAGAACTGCAGCAGATCACCTAAATTGTCAGAAGTGACGAATTCCAGTCTAATTTTAATTTATTGTGTTATTCTGGAAGTACATCAATCAAAAGTTTAAATAATTCATGCTTCTCGTCTGATAAATCCATTGCATTGCTAAAACAAAAGCTCGAGGACTCTGCACTTCACTGGTCTTCGTCTTTTATCATCCAATATTATTATTATTTTTATCAATGATTATCATCAGTAGTCTTTATTTGGGGGGGGGGGCAAAGGGAACCATTGATATCCAACATTACAGCAATGCAAGACGTACAAACAATCAAACAATCAAAAGCAGTAATTTGATGTTAATTGCTAACAATACATATATTTTTTAGAAGTAACTACAGTATCATAATGTTATGTTTTATTTACTAGGAAACATATGATAGTTAATGGACCAATAATCAATGAAGTAAACTTGCTGGCACACTGTATGTTAAACATCTAACAGCGTACACGTTATTGAACATAAAGCATGAAGGTGTAACTCTTCAAATTTTCGCAATGTAGCAGCTTACTATCTCCCGTCGAAACTATTTAAGGAAATAAAAAGAGCCGCAATATAAACATACTACATAATGTTTTCTTGCTGAGTGACAAATGACGATATATATGTAAGACTGAACCAAAGTCGCCGATTATTTTTGGGAGACACGAAGGGTCGATACCGCTGACATTGAGACATAAATCTTTGGGAACGATCATTATTTTGATACTTTCAACAATTTCCGGGGAACATCCATCAAGTCTGTTTAGCTATCCCGATAATGCACTTACCAGTCTCAATCTTTGCTCGTAAATTCTACCAAGTTCCGTTTTTCTCTGCCTCTTTCCCTTCCTTCCACCCTCCTTCCCTCTCTTCTCTTTCTCCCTCACGTCGTATACCGCTCTCTGCCTTCTGCTTCTCGCTTTCCATTTTACGTCAAGTACCTCGACCCCTCACATACGAACAAATATACCGATCACACTTCGATTAATAGACATACAATGCTGGAACACATGTTTTGGCTGTATAATTTCCTATATAAAGAAACGTATCATTTCATTAATTAATTCGACCAAATTGGAGACATAATTATTGCTACAAATGAGAAATATAAAGTATAGAACCAAAATATGCATTGCAAGCAACTAAATAAAAAAAAAATATTTTGGTATTTTCATATCTCAGGGAGATAACAGCCTATAGCAAAAATAGTAACACACTCTTTCATACGCATAGACCACACGCACACCCTCACGCCACACGCCACACACCCAAGCACACACACGTTCCCACCCAAACACCACACGCCACACACCTCACGTGCACATACACACACTCCCATCAACACACCACATACATACACACCACATCTAGCAACCCACGCGCACGCACACACCCAATCTACACCCCACTAACTCACACAGCCGCGGACAAAACGTTTGTACTTGAATGCTCCCGTCGTTTATTAAGTGCTAAAACAAGTAACATAATGCTTCTAACAATTATTTTTTTTTAAAACAGAGTCTAAAGCTGGTATTATAAGATCTAGAATGGAGTTTAAGAAATGTAAGAATACCTTTCAATCATAAAATAACCTAAAACCGCGTTACTAATGCGGTCATACTACTTATATTGTCTCTGTTTTATTTCTTGATAACATATCATCAGACTAAAGGGGTGTATATAGTACTTTAATTAGGTCATGATAGACGACGTACCATCTAGAAAGCAACATCTTTGGAACAACATATTATTGTAAAAGAAAATCCTCCACACAATCAGTAAGGACCCAGGATCTTATTGCTGGGGCGAGGCCAAAGTCAGATAATCTCAGATAAAGGGGGAACATTTTTGTGTGTACACTCAATGTGAACTTACGGTATATCAGAGTTTGTTTTGCAGGAGAGTGGGGGGAGGGGATGTGCCGCCCATGGATTCCGTCATTTTTATTTTCTTCTGAGGCTCCTTCTTCTACACAGGCAAATGTTAAAACCATTAAGACGTATCAGAAGGGTATTCAGTAATATCATGATAGATAATATATAAACTGGCTTAGTCTTTTGGACACGATCATTTATATTTTTAATAGTTTTTAGGATTTTATGTAACCTTAAAGCCCCTCTTTAAAGTGTTGGGAGCCCCAAATTCGCCAGAAATTTGATGGCGAAATTTCACTTAAATTGTATCATAATGTGAAAGAGGATGTCATTTAAGAAAAACTTCAGCAAAGTTCCCCCCCCCCCAAATGTGTTTGAAGATATATATTGATAAAAGACGTACGTAAGTTGTACGCAGAAAAAAACAATTCTTTTGTATTCTTTCCACAATATTTGACTCCAAACACAATTGTTTTGAAATTCTTTGCAGAAATGTGTCTTAAATTACATCTTCTTTCACATAATGGTAGTTACAATTTAAGTAAAATTTTGCCATCAAATCTTTGGGGCTACAAACAATTTAGAGGGGCTTAAAAATGGTAACTGAAGTGAAGCGTGTTTTCCTGAAATTGCTATTACACGTTCAAATTCTTTCATTGTATATTATGGCCATTGCTTTATTGCCTAAAGTCCAGTCAGCGTATCAAATAGCTTTCAATAGCTTTTTGTGATGTTCAAATCACTGCATTTTGTTACAGATATGACTCCCTTGTGTTTACCACACTGGGCGGCTAGTCCTTTATGTTAGATATCACCTTTTTATATAATGCCATTAATAATGATAAATATTGTTTAGATTATTGTTTTAAAAAAAGGATAAAACTTTTTATTTGCAGCTAAAAGGTCCCCTGGGATATAAGTATGTCATGGCCTTCATTTTACCTATCACAATGAAAACAAATACTATTGAACATGTTATTGCATTGGTTTGAAGTTATTTCGAAGTTACAAAACTGCATAAAAGTTTATGAAATTTTGTAAGTTTCAATTTGTGTACATTGTGTATGAGTACAACTCAGACTGCATTTCATTTTAGTAGAAGGAGGGGGAAAGGAAGTAGTAGAAGTTCTTCTTTTCCTTCTGCTAGCTTTCTACAGTCATCTATTTAGCACTTGGAACTTAGTGCTTGGAACATAAAGTAAGTTTGACATTTATCGGTTTCTAATGCCATGTTACCTTAAAAGGGTCGGTCGTGCCCCTTTAACTTTCAATGTAATTTGGTATTCAACTATGAATGAATCGTTCCTGACTGGATTCCTGTGGTAATGGTTCAGATAATGTAGATTCGTATTCATCCACATGCATGCTTTATTCGAATGTAGCATTTCTCTTTCTTCTCCCGTCACACCCCTCTCTCTCTCTCTCTCTCTCTCTCACTTTCTCTCTCTCTCTATGTCTCTCTCCCTCATGAACGTCTACTTTATCTCAGTGGGTAAGCCTTCATTGTAATGTGTGTGAGTGTGGTTTTGCATCGCTTCCCCCTTTCTCTATGTTACCCTTTCTCTATCGCATTCTCCCCCCCCCCTCTCACTCTCCGTCCCTCTCTCGCCTTCCCCGTTATGTACCTCTCATATTGTGCTTGATTTGGTTAAACTATCTCACGTTTTGATAATCATTTCTGGAAGTGCACACACATGGTGTCCACTACTAATTTTGTAAAAAGAAATGAACGAAATATATTTGACATTCTACGTAATTACGTGCATTACTGGAAGGTTGCGAGCTCATGATCAATCACAATCGCCGCTGCTGCAAAAACAATCATTCTTCCTATATTTTTTTTAAACGCATCACCCAAAGATAATTTCGGTAGACTCTATGATTTTTATTTGATTTAGTAGACATAATAATAGATTATGTTGTCAGTGCAACTTTCAACAATTATATTTAATTTCAACTGGCATCGAATTGATACCACTGTACCACTAGGCGCATTAGCATGTGATGAAATAGTGAACTAATATTTGGCTTTTTATTGATATATTCGTGTTTACGATAAGATTAGAACGATAATATTCACGAAAAATATCTAAACAATTATTTTTAACTTGAAAATAAAAGAGAAATATAATAGTTAATTTGTGACACGTAAAAAAAAAATACCGGTTGTACACAGTTTTCATTTATATTAAGTAATCATAGTCCTTTCAAATAATAAACCTAAACCGGTCACGACTTATTATCTTACGTTTTTGTCTCCATCAATATTGGTCAACGCACGTGGAATACGAAGAGTAGAGTGGTCAGATCATGAATATTCATGACATTGTCGCCACGTCTTACCAATTAGATCATTTGGTATGCCGCGAGGAAAATGAGTAGTAGGGTGGTATCGCGCGCAACGCGAGATTGTGTCATTGTAGAACGAGTCGCTCCCGTGAACGCACGGATCGAGGGTCATTATTAACGTCCGGATCGGATCGGGAGGGAACGGTTACAGGAAAAGGTTTTCAAACTTCAAACAATACGTGAAGAAAGTGAAGATAACTCAATCCTTGTGTGATTTAACACCAATGATAGGAGGCTAAGGCCAATTGTTGAGAATGGCGGGAGTCGGGACGACCGAATCGTTTTTGGATTTTGGTTTTCAGAACTCCACTCTCCCGTTCGACACTGAAAATGTAAGCAAACCGAGATGCTTTCAAGGATCTCCAGAATGTGTCTGGATGTTCCATGGTTATTACAGCGATCTTACACAGTTAGCCAGCGTCTACATCATCTTCATCGTCATCTTCGTAGTTATCATGGCCCTGGGAATAGCTGGCAATTCTATGGTCATCGGTGTCGTCTGGTCAAATCGGTCAATGAGGACTCCGACCAATTATTACATCGTCAGTCTGGCGGTCAGTGACCTTTTGGTAATCACGTTTGCCATGCCGCTTAAACTTATTGAATACACAGCGGATGTCGATCTTAAGATATTCAGCACGGCTCTCTGTTCTTTCGCAGCCTTTGTCATGCCGGCAGTGGTTTTTACCAGTATCTGGACCCTAGTGGCCATCTCGATAGACCGGTAAGTGTTATCGATTGTTCCGCTGATTTTAGACATTAATCCCGCCAACGGCTAGAAAACACATTATGATAAGGATATATCCGGTCGGGAATGTGTTAGGAATTAAAGGGAAGCTTAAGAATGTAACGGCTTCCTTTAAAAAATGTGATGTTTGTTTAAAAAAAAAATCCAATATTATTTTATTAACAATCGTGATTATTAACAAAGAAAGTAATGAAATATACTATTCAATTGTATAGATAAAATATATATGAAACAAAATTAAAAAATTAACTGGCCTAGGTCAGGTTTTATTATTAAAAATACAGGGCTAAAAAGTCACACTATTTATGATGGATAGTGATACCCAATGTACAACGATGTTAACAGACATTTTTTTAATATGTCGTCTGTTTGGCGTTACGAGGGCGTTAACTCCATGTTAAAGTAGTATGGATGAATGTCATTGTGGCTCCAAACAGATGATGTTACATAAATACAAGATATATAAATACATAATTTAGAAGCAATACATGACATGTACAGTATTGTGACTGACGCGTAAGAATCATCAAAACGAACAAACATGATTTATCCGGTATTTTCATTCATACGAGAGCTGTTGGAAAAAATAGGAATTGTGAGATAAACATGTAATTCATGTAGCTAAGAAACAATGCGTGCGACTGATATATGTCATAATAAATTGAACAAGTTTGAGCGGAACTCATCATTCATACAAAAGCAGTTTGAAAAACAGAATTTAGGAAGTAAGCATAAAAAGAAAATGGAACGGGAAGAAAAGGAAGTAGAAGGGAAGGAAGGGGAAGATAAAGAAAAAGGGAAAGAGCATCACACCCTTTCTTTTTCTAAGTATGAAAATATGCTGGTTTCAGCATTCGTATCAGAGTCAGATCACACCTTGTTATGAGTCAAAATGTTGTTAACCAGTTCTTACATAGAAAAGGAAAGCAAAGGAAAATCCTTAGATACTTGATACAATATCGTATATCGGTAGATAAAAAGAATGGTTTCTATCCAATATCATACGCGAAGTTGACCAGTCTTCTGATATTTCGAAACACAACTCGGGATGTAACCCCTTTTGTTTATCTTTTGTCACATCGGGAAAAACAAAGTAACCATTCAGTGTAATGGTAGATTGGTCACAGTAATATGATTACGAAAACTCGGAGATTTCCTGTCTTAACAGTAGACAACTTTTCTTAAAGCATTATTCAACTTCCTTTGATCAGTATAATTTTCGATCTTTTTCATATGCCAATTGAAATGTAATCGTGGATGTCACCTGTCCCGAATAATCTCATTCTTTTTTTGTTTTACTTCTGTCCTTATCTTTTTATATTTGTTGATGAGAATAATATCACCAATTGAATACTGGGGTGTTAGATATATACAATCTAAAAATGAGGGGATATTCAAACGTGTATTCTGCTCTTAAACGTTGACTGCTCTAAGTAATGATAAAACCGACAAATACAATCGCTAAGTGAGAAAGGCTTGACAATCCATCAACTCAGAGCAGGCATTGAGGATTTCTTAATAATTACACGTTCGGTTGATAACAAAGATTCCTGCTCTCTCTATATATGGTGATATTAATAGCGACAATGATAATAACATGATGGTAATAATGGTGCTTATTCCACTCAACTGTACTGGTTCACCATATTATCTCACATAAGTCCGATATTTTACCAACTGAAAACCGTAACAGTAATCGACATAAATTCGCTACAAACTTTACTACTCATGTTTAAGTATTTATATAATAATAATAATAATAATAATAATAATAATAATAATAGCCTAATAGTCCACTCCAAATTTTATTAAACCGAAACGGAAATTCTTTTTGCCCAATTGATCGTGAGCCCGGCAGCCATTTACTCTTACCCTACTCGTAATTCCTTAAATTGTCATCTAGTCAACCCGAAATTACTTATTGCCATAGATTCATACTTCACCATTTTCCAGACCTATGGAACTCTTCCAGAATCTACCAAATCACGTTGCTACCTCTACTCATTTAAGGCCAAAGTTAAAACGATGTTAATATCAGAATACCCAAGGTAAAATTGTTGTTTTAACTCTTCAATCTTCATCATAATATCATCTTTTCCTTCATTCGAATCATCATCACCATCGTCATCATCATCATTATCATCATCTTCATCACCATTCTCAGCATTATCCCCATCTGCATTGTCAATATCACCATCCTTATAATTTGTATTTTCAATTACTTATTCATTTCTGCTCAATAAATGTGATAATCTATTTCATGAGACTTTTCGTATTTTCAAGCGGTCTGCTTACAATGACAGTCCTTCTTTTATAATGTTTGATGAAATTGAGTATTAATGACATTGTATCATTTTTTTGTTGAAAATAACAATTGTTATTATACATTTGCTTAATTATTATTCACTGTCAGAAAAATACTTATCGTATTTTATATTACTACTGTTATCGAAAAACTGCAAATCAAATCAACTCAACTTAGCAACTCTCTTTATAAAACACGGCAGTCGCTGCTATCCATCAAACTTAAAGATAAAGTTGAGTTCTGGTCATGCGATTGCATTGTGAAAGTAAAGGTGTGGAATCGATCAGAAAAGGTTGATCATCTAGCATATAAGTATTGGTTCCAAAATCATCAAAATGACAAGATATTTGGCCCAGTCTTGGTAAAGTTACAAGCACTGTACACAAAAAGATGTATATGGGACTACAGGAATATGTGGCATAAAAATCCGTCCCGATTTTTATGATGTTACATGCCATATTTATAATATTAGGGCATTTGAAGAGACATGCTTTTCAGGGAATATGTTTTATCTGATGTTCTTCCACACTTGCATATTACAATGATAACGCTCACAAATTATTTTTCACCTCTTTACCGGAACTCAACCTGCTCTTTAAACGCATTATTCCATCGGCACTCCCAGGGGGGGATATAATCATTTCCACACATGCAGGCAGACAAAACAGTTGGAAATCCTTTCAACCAATGTTTCACACATCCGTTTTTGAGTAGCTAAGAACCAGGGCAAGGACTTTACTCTGGTCTTAAGAAATCAAGAGGTACAGACCTATCCTGAATATAAAGACATTTTCACTAACCAGTCATATTCTTGCATAATTCTTTTTACTTTGAAATCTTTTTAACTATATAAAAAGTCTTTAAGATGTGATAATTGTTCTAAACGTTTGACAATAGTTTAAATCTAAATTCTCCCGATGCCCAAAGGCCAAACTATCGGTTATACGCATTGCGATGCCGGTAGATATGGCCTTGCAAGATATCATATCGGCGTTGCTAGGATTACGAATCTCTTCACAACTATTTCATTCATTCAGCTTTCCATTTCTCTCTTGGGTGGAGAATGGCAATAGAGATTAATCAAGTATCAGTACAGGAGTAGAGGGGAAAACTTTAAATCAAAGTTCTGACTCTCCAAATCTGCTTTGGAGCTAATTTGACCTTTCCGTTGTCAAATAGTTTCAACAACTTTTTTTGAAACTGCAAAGCTTCAGATTTCTTTTCACAAAATGATCCCTCGTCTGTATTTCTAAAGTTTTTATATATCCCATGATCAATACTTGGCTTTCTACTCAGTCCCTCGTAGTTTAAGAAAAGCTTCCATATCCACAAAGGTGCAGCTATCCAGATGTTTGATATTTATATCCTTATTTTGAAAACTGTATAGGATTTCACTCACCAGCATTATTTCTGGAATAAACACAAAGCACACTCTAATAATCAATAGTTGCAATTTGCACAGTGATATGATCTTGTATGTTTCCACGGGAATATACTAATTTGTATAGTCTATTTTTGTTACCGCTCGGATTAAAAGATATGGGTTTGCAGGAATGAACATGGAGGATGTTGTGGATTCTTCAAATATAATTAATAAATGATCACACATTTCTGCAGTCATCGGTATAAATATAATTGTCTGTTTCATATATCCTTTACTATCACCAAGGAGTCTTATCAATTTTTGTATTACTTCGCTTGATTCCATGAAATACAGAAGTGTCAATTTAGGTATCTTATGCACAGACCTGAATTTAGAGAAAATATGATGCATTGCTTCTTAGGCTGATCTGAATGCCAAGGGATCAATTGCCATTAAAGCCACGCGGGAGCAGAAATGTGCTTATACCTCCTTAGACAGATACAAGTAACGATAATATTATATTGCTGTCGAAGTTGAGACGTAAACCGTGCGTCATTTATACTTTAGAAGGGTGCACAGACACGTATTACTACCTTAATCACATGGTAATAAAGAGGCATTCGCAATAAAAACATCTCCACAATACATATGCAGAAATGGTGTTAGTTTTTCTTAACAAAAGAAACCTTTATAAAGACGGTCGTTATTTAGGCATAACAAGAATTTTGTCTGGTGTGTTATTAGCAATTATACTTCAGAGTTTATCCTTTGTCTGAAAGAGGAAAGAACTGGAAAATAATTTCAGGGGGGAGAGAAAGAAAGAAAATGCTAAGGATCTAAGGAGGATGACTTAAGATATTGTATTCAAGGGAGTTTCTTACTGTTTTGACCCGCTTGATTGCTTCTGGTGATAATATACCGTGTGAGTAAAAAAAAAAGTCTACACCTAGAAAATTGCTAATTATTTTAAAAATCATCTATAAACAGTAAAGTATTATACATCTTATGAAAGAGTGTTTTATCACAAATCATTTCAAATGATTTCAAAAATGATACCAAATTGGTATCATTTTTGTGTGGTATGTGTTCACGCTTGGATGAACAGGATGTATTGTTTGCGAGAGTGCAAAAATCGACTTGCGCCTAAGCTGCTTATGTGATGTTTAAATAAAACAATTGGGATTTGGGTATTAAATCGGTTGTTGCAGATCCAAATAACACCCCTAACAAAATTAATCATGCCACACATATCAAATATCAATGAACATTTGTGCGCGTGTGTGTATGCGTGTGTGACTTTGCTTGTGC